TCTCTCCCTCTCTCTGTGAACACATGTGCGCATTTCACTTTGTCTTGCTGACATCCACACGCACTCTCTCATCTCTGATTTTGTGTGGTCTCATCATCCTTTCTCTCTTCTTGCTTGATTTTCTCTTTACATCTCGCTCTCCCTCATCACCCGTCTCTCATCTCCCTCCCAACCCACCCACTCTCTCTCACTCTTACATTTTCCTTCTTCGGGTCGCAGAACCTCGCCGAGCCAAGAAAAACGAAAAAAGAGAGAGCGCGCGCGTGTGTGTGTGTGCGGTCACGGTCACGGTCACGGTCACGGTCACGGTCGCGGTCGTGGTCGTGGTCACGGTTGCCGTTGCGCGAGTGCGCAGGGTTGGGGCTGCTGGATTCGGGTGCGGCTTGTTGGGACACCGCACGCACCCCGTTTGTCTTGATTTTCGTGTGCAAGCCTCGCACCGTCTCTCGTCATGGCGGCGTCGTGCATCTCGAGCTGCTTCACGGCGGTCACCCTTGTCCTCCTGATGGCGGCTCTCATCCCGAATGCAGCTGGTACGTGAATCAAACGCCTCTTCCGTCACGCGCGTCATCAGCAACCCGCCCCCTCCCCCTCTGTCACCTCGAGGCGCTTCTCTCCCATATCTATGGACATGTGCGCCTCAAACTCGCGCCACACGCCTCAGCTCACCACCACCCCCTTCCTTCATTTCCCTCCCCTCGCTCCCTTTGATAGCCGAGAATCGCACGGCCGCTTTTGTGGTCGACTGCCGAAATGACATTGTGCTGCCCCAGCTCGCGGATCTGCTGCAACTTACCAACGCTACCACCGTGCTCATGTACGGTGACGACTCGGGCGGATGCTGCGACCTCTTTGGCGATCGAGCCTGGCCCAACATCCACAGCGTCGAGCTCCGTTGCATGCCCCACGATCCCAACATGGTCCGAAATCTCAATCTCACTCAACTCAGCGTTGTCGGCACACCCGACCTCCAAGTCTTTGCCCTCGACCCCTTCATCCTCAGAACCTCGCGCGTCATTCTTCAGGACCTGGCCGCCCTCAAGAGCATCGACACCCACATCACCCTGCCCAACCTCCTTCACTTTGAGCTCATCAACTGCTCTCGACTCCTCTCCTTCCCACACTTTGACGCCCCCAATCTCCAGTCCCTGCGCCTTCAAAATGTTGACCTTGACAACGTCCGCGCCATCTCCAACTTTCCCGCCCTTCGCGAAATTAACTTTGATACCACCGCCATTACCCATCTTCCCCCCTTGCCCTGTCAGGTCGAAATCATCAACGTTCACAACTCCCCCATCTTTAGCCTCGAAGCTGAAAGTTTCACCTGTGCAAGACCCACCGTGGCCAACCTCAGTGGCAATTCCATTGAACAAATTGATCCTGATTGCTTCACCGCCTCAAACAATCTTCGCGTTTTCGACATGTCCGGCAACATGCTCGAAGTGATGGCCCTTGATCCCAACAACGACTTTCCCGTCCTCGAAGTGTTTAGCCTGGCCAACAACTTTTTGACCCTCCTCACAGGCGCCTTCAGCGCTGGTGCCATGACCTACCTCTCCGTGGCTGCCAATCGCCTGACTGCCTTTGACTCGGGCGTCTTCAGCCATCTCAGCAAACTCACCGAACTCGACCTGTCTGACAACCACTTTACCAGCCTCCAGCCCCATGTTCTTGATCCCCTTACCGCCCTCGAGCGCATCCACCTCGAGAACAACCGACTGACAGCCTTGGATGCTGACGTCTTTGCCAAGCTCCCCGCCCTGCGCAACATCACCATTAGCAACAACGCCATCACCACCCTCGATTCCACCATCTTCGCCCACAACCCTCAGCTGCAGAACCTCATCATCTTTGGCAATAGCCTCACCGAGTTGGCCCCCGATATCTTTCACAACAACCCCCACCTTCGTTACGCTGACATGTGTGACAACTTTTTCACCACCTTCCCCGCCCCCCTCTTCCAAAACAATCCCAACCTTGAGATTTTCAGTGCCAGCGCTACCAACATCCGCCACCTCCCCGCCGGCCTCTTTGCCGGCCTCACCCGCCTCCAAGACTTTTACGTGGTCAACTCCCTCCTCACCACCCTCCCCTCGGGCCTGTTTGATGACACCGTCAGCCTTCGCTCGCTGATGCTCGGCGGCAACATGTTCACCACCCTCCCCGATGGCTTGTTCTCCAAGCTCCACCGCCTCAGCCAGCTCGATATTGGTGGTCACCGCATGTCTCGCGTTGACGTTGAGGCCCTCGGCGTTCCCAACAACGTCACCCTCCTCTCCATCTCCTCCCAAAGTGCCGAATACGGTTGCATTGTGGCCACCACCCAGCACCCCTTTCGCAACTTGGCCTCCTTCAACAGCTCGGGCTGCAGTTTGGAGCCCCAGATGCTGCAAAGCGTCCTCCACAGCGCCCCAGCCCTCAGCATTCTCCAAATCGGAGGGCCCCAGCTCTGCGCCCTCAACGGCTCCACAACCCTCACCCTCAATCGCCTACCCAACTCTCTTTCTCTCATTAGCGTGGCCAACAGTGACTGCCAAGTCATCTCGCTAGGCGGCGCCTACATCGACTCGCTCTTTGTGCAGTTTAATGAAGGCCTCACCGCGCTCACCGTCAACGCGCCTCGCGCCGTCGAAGCCAGTATCAACAACAATCCCCAGCTCTCCAAGATTAACGTCTTCCCCGTTCAGGTGCTGGACATTAGCAACACGGCCCTCGATCACATGCCTGCATTTTGCACCGTCATGGGCACCCAAAGCTTCTCTGCCCGTGGCATGCAAGACTCGGATCTCTTTACCTACGGCGCTGCGAGCATCCTGCGCACCTGCCTCACCCACGGCGTCTCGGTGATGGATTTCTCCAATAACGTTGACCTCAACAACCTCGACAACGTTGACCTCAACTACCGCGTACTCATCTCCTTTGAGCTTCAGCCGGGTGAAAACTATTGGCTCGATGGCATGCAGCTCTTGCGTCTCGACGTCGTGCCCAGCCTTTCCTTCGTCAATAGCCCCGTCCAATGCGAGATCATGCCCGACTACGGGACTGCCGTCGTCGTCTCCGCCGACATGTCCATCGACTTTGCTCCCTTGCATTATCACGCCATCAACTGTCGTTGCACCTCGGGCTACACCAACGCCGGTGGCCTGTGCAAGGCCGTCAAGCCCAGCTTTTGGGACTACAAGGGTGCCGTCGCCGTTGTTTTCATTTTTCCCGGTCTCGCCCTGCTCCTGATCGTAGCCTACTTGGCGCGTCGCCGCCTGCGTCGCATGTACGACAACATTGAGCTCAAGCAGCGCCTTCTCAGCGACACCGAGGCTCAGGTGGAGGAGCTCAAGCGAGGCTGGCAAATTGATGCCTCGGAGATTCGCCTTTTGGAGCGCATCGATGGCGACTCGCAGGGCGCATTTGGCTCTGTCTATGCGGCCGACTGGGACCACATGCGCGTCTGTGTCAAGCTCCTCCGCGAGGGCATGTCCTTTGACGAGATGACCGAGGGTGTCTTTGATCGCGAAATCAATTTTTTACAGCGCTTCCGTCATCCCCAGCTCGTGCGCTTCTTTGGCGCTGGCCACATGCCTGCCGATGGCACGGATGTTCCCTTTCTGGTCCTCGAGCTCGTAGATCGTGGCTCACTGGCCCAGGTCTTGTTGAAGGAGAGCCTGACGCGGGCGCAAAAGCTGAGTATTCTTTTGGATGTGGCCCGGGGTATCGAGCACCTGCACAGCCATGGCGTGGCACACCGTGACCTCAAGAGCGGCAACGTGCTCATTTCCAGCGACTTTCGGGCCAAGGTCTCCGACTTTGGGAGTGTCAAGCGCTTCTACCGCAAAGCTGAAGGCAACGACGACATGAGCGATGTTGATGCATCGGCAGCCGTTCACTCGGCCAATCTCCAGTACACCATGAGCTTGGGGACTCCGCTCTACCTCAGCCCCGAGGTGCTGCGCGGGGAAGCACACGACGGCTTCAAGGTGGACGTCTTTGCCTTTGGCGTGTTGTGTTATGAGACGGCGCACCAAAAGGTCCCGGATCTGGTTGGACAGTTTGGCGACTTTCGCGGCCCCTTTCTCTATCGACTCGGTCAGCTGCTGGATGCCGGACATCGTCTGCAGTTGGATACGGATGCTTGCGACGTGCCTGTCGGCCTGGCCAATCTCAGTCTCTCTTGCATGGCTGGCCCCATGCACGAGCGGCCCACCTTTGATGTCATTGTAAATGCCCTTCAGGACCTCGAGTAATGTGCGCTGGCAACTGTCAGTCTGAGCGACGTGTGCCCGTGAGTGGTACGAGCACCGGCCGCGCTGTCCGTAAATCGTTTGTGTTGTTCTGATGGAGCTTCTAACTCTGAACTAGCGAGGCGACTCTGAGACTCGCTTCATCCTGCTAGATTTGTTTAGCTTCGATCAAACCGTTTGGCCCTTCTTGTGTCGACTGCTTTGTCTTGCCCAATGTGTTGTGTTGTGTTGTGGACGTGCCCTTGTCAAATCGATGACCGAATGAGCAAGGCGTGCTCGTCGTCACAAACCACAACACAACATCTTGTCTTTCTGCCCAACCAAAATGTGTCGCAATAACTTGACCCGCAAAGTCAGCATTTTTAGTCTTCAACTTCTCACTTTAAACCCGCTTCTTTTACCACTGCTGCCATATGGTATCTACATCAACTGCTTATACTACTGCATTTTCTTTGATGTGACCTCGCCTATTATGTAAGTGAACGCAAAAAAAAAAAAAAAAATGAAACGCGCGCGGGCGCGGTTCAGTGGTTGTGAGCAGTGTGTGTGTGACGTTGTGCGCGCTCGCGGGTCGGATAGCGCGTGTCGTTTCGATTCGGACCGACCCCCTTTTGCCTGCCGTGTGGTTCGTTCCGTTTGACTCACGGTCGGCTTTGTCCACGGCTTGGGAACGGGCGATGCATTTGCCGTCGTAGCTCTTGGAAATGGACATGGCAACAGCGACGACAGGACAAATGGCGGCGTGGCCGTCTCTGCTTGGGTGCGTGCTCAAGTGCCTCGACCAGTTGAGCAATGGCCTTGTTTGACTGACCCCCTTCTTGCTGTCGTGATCGTGTTGGTACAGGGAAGTGCGGACGCTCTTGGCCGCAGAGGACAAGCTGCCAGCTTGCCGCCCAAGTCATGTGTGCGGGAGCAAGGATGGGAGCTGCCTCTTTTTCCTCTTCTCGCTCGAGCAGGGCTCCCAACAAGACATTTTCCGCCTCCAAGTGAATGGCCCCGGTGAGTCTTCTCTCCCCCGCCTCTCTCTCCAACATGCCGTCCAAAGTGTCAGTGCTCACAACTGGGCTCGGGTTGTCTAGTGCCCAAACTTGAAAACTTGACTGCCGTCCTGGCACAGCCTGCTGCCGCTGCTCAGACCAAGGAGGAAGAGCTGCTCCGCGAGCGTCAACGCCAATACACGACTGGTGTCACAAGCTTTGTCTATGACCCGGCGGAGGATGTCATCTTCTTCCCCTTTGCCTCAACGCACGCTCTCATGCGTGAGGCGACAACGCGCAAGCCGGTGCGTGCTCTGCCCTCGCCAACCGCTGCCACTCTGGGCTGCGCCTCGCCCAATCTCGTGGTTGCCAAACAGCCGCAGCCGTGCAGGTGGCCACTGGTTCAGAGGCTACACCTGACTTTGGCCTGGTCTCACACGAATCGTCTTCTCTTTGCTTTAGACCACGCCGCCCCATTTGCTGCCATCCCGGGCTCGCTTCGATGCCAAGCTCTGCCCGGGCAACAGCTCCTGGCTGGCGTACTGCCATGACGGCGAGGTGTGGCTTGAGAACACCGACGTCAATCGTCTTTGGGCCATCACCGACGCCAAAGACCAAGGTATGTCGCCAATCGCGAAACCGAGCCGCCTATTTGCTGGCCAAATTGCTCGCGCCGCCTTGGCTTCGCCCCAAGCTGCAGCATGCCCCTTATTCTGCACCTTGACTCTCATGGCAGGCACCAAAAAGCACCAGACGGCGGGTATTCCTTCTTATATTGTCCAGGAAGAATTTAGCCGCTTCACTGGCTTTTGGTGGGCTCCAGACGGCAGCAGTATTTTGGTGGAACTTGTGGACGAGGGCCACGTTCGCCAAGTGCATGTCACGGACCAGATGTTTCCTGGTGGCGAAGATAGCACCTTTGTTTATCCGCGGGCCGGTGATGCGAACGCCCTGACTGCGCTCACGCTTGTGGCCATCGACTTTGAAGCCTGCCTGGCTCAGCCAGACACGCCGGGGCTCATGGCCAAGGCCACGCGGGGTGTCATGGAGCTGGCCCACCCCGACCGCGAGTATCTCGTCAACGCCGGCTTTGCTGGCTCGCCCCACCGCATTTGGCTGCTGACCCTTGATCGCGCTCAGCGGCATCTCCGCCTTGAACTGACCAGCAAGACCGCGCTGCTTCACGACGAAGGCCGCGAGACGGAAGTCATGCTTGAAGTGACGCACCGCTCTTGGGTCAACACCTACACGACCATTGGTTTTGTCGCTGAAGACCTGCTCAAGCCCGCTGCCGGCAGCCAGGGCTCGCGCATCGTTGGCTACTGGATCACTGATCGAAGCGGCTTTGATCACATTGAGCTCTTTGAGCGCACAGACAGCGGCACCCAAGGTATTCGTGGCTCCCACTTTTGACCTCACATGCAAAACGCAGCACATGGTGGTTGACTCGGCTCACCATGGCCCGCACGCTGTCATGCATGCAGTGGTTCCGGTCACAAGCGGCAAGTGGCCCGTACTGGACTCGGCGTCTGTGCAGCTGGACATGGCCACGGGCCGCTTCTGCTTCTTCGCGCGCAAGGTGAGTCAGCCGCCTCGCGTGTCAGCTTTTGCTGGGTAGCAATGCGACGCTCATCACCTGCTGCGATACTTTTTTTAGGATACACCCTTGCAAGCGCACATGTACATGACGGCGGTGCCGGCACATTGGCAAGCATTCGTGGCTGGCGAGCACTCCTTGGCTAGCGTGTCCTATGCCGCAGATTTCCAGCGTCTCTCTCCAGAAGGTTTGCCCGTGCCACCGTCTCCTAGTTTCTTCTTCATTTTTTCCGGCGAGCGGGCCTCGGATGCTGCCTCGGGTACTTCAGATCAATACTCAGTCAAGCTTGTTTGATTGATTGTAGGGCTCCATTGTACCGGTCATCCATCAGCGCAGCTTAAGCAAGCCTTGGTGACGCTGGAGTCTTCGCATCAGGCACCGCAGCTGGCACTGCTTGTTCTCGAGAGCGGCTCGTATACCATGTTGCAAAGTACCGAAAGTACGGCGCGTCTCTTGTTGACACTCTGTTGAGGCCTTTTCAGTGGAAAAAAAAAAAAAAAAAAAAAAAAAAAAGTGTTGAAGGGGCACTACATCACTAACGCTCGCCTGATGACGGTTTCTGTCGGTCCTTGATCATGTAGTGTCGGCATTGCACCTGAGGCCGCGCTTTTTCCCCATCGTCATGCCAAACGGTACGCCCCCCCCCTTTTTTTTTTGCATGAGAGCTGTTCGATGCTTTTCTCATCCCATGTACTGGTGGACTTGTTGCTGGCTCGTAGGCTGCACATACCATTCAATGGTTCTTTCTGCGACACAGTCCAGTGATCAGCCTCGGCCCGTGGTCTTGTACGTGTATGGAGGCCCACACGTCCAGCTGGTCCAGGATGTCCCCATCCGGCGGCGCGCTGCTCTTTTTCAAGCCTTTTTGAATCGCGGCTTCAACGTGGTGATGATTGACGTGCATGGATCCACGGGCCGCGGACGTCTGTTCGAGGAGCCCCTGAACCGGCGCATGGTAGGCTTGGCTCTTCTTTGGACCAGACTGGCTGGGGCAATGGTGCTTGTCGCTGACCCGCTCTTCTTTCTCTAGGGTACCTTTGAGATTGACCATCAAATCAAAGCTCTCCAAACACTGCATAGCCAGCACCCCGAGCTTGGTTTGGATCTCTCTCGAGTCGGCGTGCACGGATGGAGCTATGGTGGTTATGCTAGCTTGATCGCTCTGGCAACGCGGCCTGACTTTTTCAAGGTTTGTGTTTCTTTCTGTTCAGACCCCTCAATGGTGGGACCATATTATGTGTGTGTGAACGAGCTCACGCCTGGGGTTAATGCACATAGGTCGCCGTGGCAGGTGCACCCGTCACGCTTTGGGAAGCGTATGACACGGGGTACACAGAGCGCTACATGGGTCAGCCAAAGGACGAACCCGAGGTGTGTGTTTCGAGCCTTGCCTTTAAAGATCTCTCTCTCTTTTTTCGCCCACGCGCCTGTCCGTCTCTTCTATTCACCTACTTTTCCCTGCTTTTAAATCTCGTTGTCGAAGGCATACCGTCGTGGCAGCGTCCTAGAAATGGCAAATGGGTTCCCCGACGAGTACGGACGGTTGCTGATCATGCACGGCTTGAGCGATGAGAATGTGCACTTTTCGCACACGGCCACACTCATTGATCGCCTGCACGAGCTCGGCAAACCATATGAGCTTCAAGTGTACCCGCGTGCCCGCCACGGCGTGCGCACGCCACACGAGCGCATCCATCATACCGCAGCGATTGTTCGCTACATTGCCAAGGGCTTGTGAGGCCAGCCCCAGTGCCTCAACCGCCGCTGTGCAGGCTAAGAGCCAATCGAGTCAAAAAAAGAAAAAAAAAACCATCCCCCAGCCGTAAGCATAGCCCTTGCCCAGTTATCAATTTGTGATCAATTTGGCTCTGAAGAGCAGGTTGCCGCTACGAGAGAGCTTTCTTCAACTGGCAGGCAGAGATTTTATATAAGCGCTCATAGCAGCCGAGGACACAATCAGGGTGCGATTGCTGTGTGGCACAGGCTGCAGCACCACGCCAGCGTGATCAGGCGTGTGCTTGGCCTCAGTTGTCTCGAAACTGAATAGCTCGTCAATGTCGTAGCTTTTGGAGAAGCGACGCTTTTTTAGAAGTAAAATGCTGGCCTGGGAATAGTTTGGCTGATGGAGCAGCACAACGCGGCGAGTGTGTGTTTTACGCCCTTTGGGGCTTGTGCGCTGGATTGATACACCTGATTTGTCGACCTGGATTCGAGCATCCTCAGAGAGCGTGTTTGGCCATGCACCCCCTACGCTTGCTTTCAGTGAGGTTAGCGCCAGCGCTGCCTCGGCTGCCCGCACGCTCGTGTCAACGTCCTGTGCCATTTCCTTGGCAAGAGCGAGCACCGCCCCAAGCTTGGCTTGATCCTCATGGGCAGCGTGCTGTAATGCTGTTGTCATCAATAATGGGTAGCGTGCCACCTGCACAAGCGACACCATTTAGCAACAGATCAGGCAAAGGCAACTCAGAGCAGAGCAGTTGAGGTGAACATGAAGTGGAAATTGTGGATCACTGCAAACGAACAACAAACCCTTTGGATAGGCTGGAGCAGTGCGGCTTGAAGGTCGCGACGATCGGGGAGGCTGGCTCGCAGGCGCGTGCTTTGTTGATAGCACGCTTGCAGATGTTGCGACCCCTGTGCATAGCCTGAGCAGTACTGCTCGAAGGAGGCACGCGTCACTGACTGACTGAGGTAGTGGTGCAATGCACGTGTTGGATCCGCCTCAACTGCTGCCAGGTGCAAGAGCTGCGTCCCCAAGGCAATGAGGACATCAAGATTCTGGAAAATAATTTGGGCATCCTCTTCATGGATCAGTGAACGCTCAAGCATGGGATCCCGATACGCCTCACGCAACCGGAGCAAGCTGGCAATATAGTCGGCCTACTCGCAGCCAGAGGAGCAGCAAGGCGCACTGTCAGAGCCCAAAGTTACTTGCATGCTTGCATTGAATCCTACCTCCGTCTCCAAAATTTCCGAGACGGCAGCCGCCGCGCGCAAGCTGGGGCCCGCGGTAGCAGTCTCCTACAAGGCATACTGGGCATGAGATGTATGGTGGGTATGCAGCTCTCCTTGTGACGGTCGTTGCATCAGGACATACCGAGGTGCCAAAGACACCCAGCCCGTTGCGCTGTGGGGTGTGGAGATCGAGCTGACCAGTGGTTCGCTCCATGTTGTCAATCGCTGAGAAAAATGCCACTTGCTCACGCTTCCACCATCTCTCAGTGTCCCCGCAGATCTTCCACCACCCATGCCACCTTGCTTCACCCCGCCCCGTGAAGACGCAGTCGTGGATCGCGCCATAAGTGGAATGAAGCAGATCCTTTTGATCAAAAGATTTTTTTTTGTGGGGGATCTTTGTGTGAACAAAAGAAAATTGTTTGACAGTTTCTTTGGAGTTGGCGACCGTGGACTGGGTGGGGGGCGTGTGTTGTAGTTTAAGCGGTCCCAGCTCCCGTTCGAATCGACTATCGGCAACTGGCGCCCTACACCGTGGCGTTGCGTGAGCGCTCGCTTTGCTTTTTGACGTCGCTTGATTGACAGGGCCAAAGAGTGATAGCTCTTGGCAGGCCAAGTCGTTTCCAGATGAAAGACATCGTTTTCTCAGCAGAGGAAGCACTTGCATCCTCTGGGTGGTGGATGGGACTTTTGAAGCACGAGTGTGTATGGGGCCTGGACCACCGAGCCCTGAGGACCCTTCCAATGAAGACGATAATAAGGTGTGAGATCGAGCAACAAGGAGAGCGGGCAATGTATGTGAGACCTTCCCCCTTCATTCGTTCCTCACAGCCAGTATTGATTGGCTAGTACTTGGGCGTCGCCGCTCGGGCTTTCCAACGCCAAAAGGGGTGAAAGACTACTGACAGTGGCGGCCGGTTGTAGCGACGGGCAGATCTCGTGTGCTTGACTGTTCCTTGAACGTGCGTTGCCATGAAGTTGAGTTGGCTCGCTTGCCATCAGATATGGACACTCTCAGCTGGGAGGGACGATAGGTTTAATATAGCCGGAGGGGTTGCATCGGATCACCCACGGAATAGGAATGCTTTTCAGCCACCATGGCCGGCGAAGGGACAATGCACGGAGACGTTCAACAAGGATTTCGTTTGGCGACGCCCCAGAATCTGCTCGTATGACCGTTTCGACTATTTTTAGAACAAGCAAAAACAAAGATGCAGAAGAAAAAAGTTTGAACTTTGCATTTTCCTTCTTCTTCTTCTTCTTCTTCCTACCTTCTTCTTCCTACTTCTTCTTCCTGCTTCTTCTTCTTCTTCTTCTTCTGCTTCTTCCGTCGTCGTCAGCGTGCGCTTGAACTAACCAAGTACACCTGTCCTTGCACCTGTCATTGAGAACAGTTGGCCAGAGGTGAGTCAGTTGGTGCATCAGGCAGAGAAGAAAGAGCGAGGCCCGCTGACCGCCCGTTTTGCGTCTGCGCTTTGTCGGTGCTCCCCGCGCCCCCGCCCTGCTCCCCGCTGGTCTCTTCCGCCTGCCGTCCTTGCTCTCGCCTTTTCTGATCCATCCGGGCACACCACTCCACCCCTTGCCATCATGCCTCTGCCTCATTCGCTCGCTCAAGCGGCTTTCGATGGCCGTGCCTGAACTTTTGCCCCCGGCACACGCGCCGTTTCTTTTCTTTTTTTTTTTTTTTTTTTTTTTTTCTCTCCAAACGCGCTTCCTTTCGGCCACCTGCTACCTGCCCGCACCATTTGTACACCACTCGCGCGTCTGGCGTCTCCGGCACACTTTAAAGCATTGTCACCTCGCCTTTATTATGAGAGAGCAAATGCACGTCGCCCAACTCAGCCCTCACGTCGCTGCCCACCTCACACGCTCCAAACACATGTTCTCAGAGTGGCACAACACCCTTCGATCTCGGACGTCAAGAAGGACATTGCGACAAGCTGGGGCTCGTGTTTGCTTTCCACGAGGCTCGCCTATCACAACCACCCGCGCCCCTCGCTCCGCCCACACCGGCACCACCTTCCGCCTGGCTGCCGTCTCTACCCACCACCCCCACCCTCGAGGTGAGCCTGCTCTCCCATCTTGTTTTCCCCAATGCATTTACTATTCCAATCCCCACGGCCTCATCCAACCTCATCACGACCGATGGCACCACACAACCCTCCAATAGACCACGGCCTTTGTTGTGGTGGCGGTGGGCACTCAGCTCAGGCCACTCTTGCCGAAGCGTACCACCACCCATCCCCTCCCCAACCTCGATGCATTTATCAACGGTGCTGCCAAACAAAACCCCAATCTTGCAATGGCGGTTGCTGATATCCAAGAAACCATTAAAAAAGCCCCACTAGAGCTTCCTTCCATCGACTGGGCAGCCTTCCAGGTGACCACCACCCGGGCCCTCGGCGCGCTCGATCAGGCACTGGCAGCGCCCCAAGCGTTGAACAACCGATTGGGTCAATTGGACCCCAACACTGACAACCTTGAATCAGTACTGCAAGAGCTGCACGATGTCACTGCTGGTTTTGAGCTGCAGCCAGCTCTTCTTGAGCTTCAAACCGTGCTGGCAGCATGCCCATCTCCACCCACCGCACTGACAATGGCACCCACAAAGCCGCCCGCCAACCTTGGTGCAGCCCTGGATAAACTCGCTATGCTACACAACGCGGAACCCAAGCGCCAAGAACTGTTCACCGACGCTGACAGCCACCTCCAGCAGCTGGAGCTGAAGCTGATCACTGCCCTGCGTGCTGTGGCAAGAGCGGGAACCATCAACACGGACCATCGTGTCGACACACTGGAACAGTGTGCGAAAGGCTTGGATGTGAGTGCATCACCTCCAACCGAGGCATTGACCGAGGCCTGGGAGCAGCTGTGCCAAGCCCACGAAAAGCTGAGCTTGCCCGAGCAAAACGGCCTGGAGCAGCTGATAGCCTGGATGGTAGATCATGACTATGCGCATCAAGACTGGTACCTGGCCTTTGCGCTTCACGAGGCGCAAACTCTGGTGCAGCAGTTGCAAGACATGGTCGACTGGCAGGCCACGACGCTGTCCGTGCTAACTTCGTGCCAAAGCTATGCCGAAGAAATCACGCAGAGCCGCACAGATCAGGTCGCATCCATCCACGAGGACGTGGCCGAGCTGCAGAAGAACATCCAGACAACCACGGCATTCTTGCCTGTGGCTTCAGATGAGATGCAAGCTGGCCTTGAGGATCGATTGCAAAACATGAAGGAGCGTCTGGCCATTTTACAGCAACAACTATCAGATCAAACACAGGTAGACCAGGGGGCGGCACTGGCAGAGCTGCTACACCAACACTTCCCAGCTCTGCTGGTCTTTTTGCACCCTGAGCAGAGCTCGCTGGGAGCGCGCCTCCGCACCGTGCTCGGCCCCGACCTTCCAACCAGTCTGATCTTGGAGGCCATGTGTCAAGTAGACCAGGGTTTGACGCTCTCCAGCCTTGGTCAGCTTGAGCTTCATTGCAATCAACATCACACGGTGTACAAAGCCCGCGCAGCACTGCTGAATCTCCCTGAGCAGGATTTGGCTGTAAAGGAGTATGCACTTGCTGAGCAACACAAGCAGGATCAGTGTCGTATGTTTCTGAGGGAGCTTCGTGCCTTGCGTCAGCTTGAGCATCCAAACATCATCCCGGTCCTCGGTGCGGTCGTGGACGTACACAGTGGCAACCCGAGTGCCTACTTGGTACAGCCATGGTGTACACAGGGGGATCTGCAGCAGTGGCTTGGCAAGGCGCGCCACCTGGCCACCTCGGCTGTCATTGCAGGTTTGATGACTCAGCTGCGCACCGCCCTGGCGTTTATGCATAGCAAGGGCCTGGTACACCGAGATGTCAAGCTGAGCAATGTCATGTTAGACGGCGAGGAGGACCAGCCCGTCGTGCGGCTGGGTGATTTTGACATTGCCAAGGCCGCCGCTGAAGCCACCATGCTACCATGCACGGCCACTGCGTCGTCGGGCCCGGCAGGCTATGTGGCGCCCGAGGTGCAGTTTGGGCGCGGTCGAGTGAGGGCGCGTCCGGCACAGGATGCCTTTTCCTTTGGCTGCGTGCTGTACAACACTTACATGTACCCACAAACGGTGCCACCGGCTCGGTCTCCAAGTGATGAGGTCGTGGATCATTGCAGATGGTTTTTGCAAGCGGGGGATGACGGCTGCAGCTTTCCGCATCTAGCGATCGAGGTCAGTGATGTCTTCTGCTCTCGGTCTTTTTTTACTGCTCTTGGTTTCTGAGCCGCTCGTTCTTGTTGTAGTAGTTGCCGTTTTAACATCTGTGTTTGTGCGCAGATGTGCGACGTGATGAGCCATTTGTACAGGGAAACGCGGGCCTTGCTTAAAACCGATCCAAAGAAACGGCCAAGTCTTTTCAGCGCCGGGCAGAGTGTGCAGCGACCTGTCACGACCCAAGTTGTTTGCCCAGCCATCGAAGTTTTGCGCGACGCACCCGAGCTCGTCCCAGAGGTGCGCTGCTTGCTTACATAGTCATGATAATATTATTCTTTTCATCTTGACAAGCCGACTAATGTGCATTACGGTGTGACTAGGTGGCCGAGCTGCTACAGCAGCTGAGTGCCGACGGGCAAGGACCAAGTAACGTTACAGTGCAGCTTGTGGAGCGTGTGGAGAACCCCGTGCTGTGGGAACGCTACAGCGCTAAGCGACAGGAGATGCTGCACCGCCTCGAAAGTCACTGCCTCACGAGTCAGCATCACTTCGAAGAGCTTCGAACGGCCACCTCGGATGCGCTTTCGGGCTGTCCAGCTTTGCTTCGCAATACACCCTGTCAAGAGCGCCTGCTGCTTTACGGCATTGCGCCTGAGCAATCGCTGCGAGACAAGATTGTGCGCCTGGGCCTCGGCTATTGCTTTGCCGGCAGCCGCGTTGGCCACGAGTATGGTCTTGGCGTTTACTTGGCCGACCATCCTGGCAAGGTGTGGCGGTGGTGCTGGTTTGCAGGGCTCTAGCGTCTTTCATCACATTGCTTCCTTGACGCCGTGTGCCTTCTTGAATCTGGATGTAGAGCCATTCCTATGTGAAGCCTGGACCCAACGGCGAGGGCATGCTCATCATCACACGAGCCCTGTTGGGCCATGCCCATGTCCATGATTCGCCTCGTTCTGGGGCACTGGCACCCCCGCTGCTACCCTATGTACGCGACGACAAGCGGTATGTCAATCGAGATGCCATGTCGTTGTGTCTTGGCTCTTAGCTTGATGCGACTCATGTTTGTCTGTCTTGCAGATTTGATTCTGTCATTGCGACACCGCGAGGAAGGTTTCATGAGGTGATAATGTTTGACAATGCACAGATGTACCCCGAACTAGTCGTCTACTACACTGCCTAGATGTTTTCGTTGAGATCCTTCAATACTTGGCAACTGCCATGCCTGAATTGCCTTTGAGTGGCACCTGCGCTTGAACACAATTCGCACTTTCCCTATCCTTGGAATCGAGCGATTATTGGAGTGCAAGCATCGACCACCTGCCAGAACCCTCTGGAAGGATTGCATAAATGTACTCGACGATGTGCACCTGCCGCTGCTCGTCGAGGAACCCTCTCGTACACTCTGGGTGTGTTTAGCCACCGGATTATAAGTACGGTCCCGCTGACCGTGAGTGGCATTTTCTTTTGGATATTTCCCTTCCTGTTTTCTATCGTTCTCTCCTGTGAGAGAAGTGCAATTGAACCGCTTTACTGTCTCAGCTCAAATCGTCTTTCAATAGCGATTCTACCGCTATCTCCACGGTGCACCTGGTCTGGTCACTGTGAATGCTTTCCAACCGCAGCTAATGCGATTGACCTCAGAAATATCTTGTTCATCCTGACCAATGCCTCTCGAATCCCCTGAAGAATGGTCCTTTCGACACTTAGGCGCTTTCTTGCAGCCCAAAACAGGCTCTACTCGCTTCAGACGTGAGCTGATTGTGAGCTGCAACACAGCGAGCTTTCGAAACAAAGCTCACATCATATCCTTTGACCAGATGCGCTGAGAAATCACCATGCATGAAGATCGCCATACAGTGATGGTCGCCGACTGGTTTGTCGTGTGTGTGTGCAGCTGGATCAAGAAACGATTTGAAGAGAAGTGATCAGCGCGAACCCAGCCATCGACAATCAAGGCCTCCACAGTCGCCGAGGTATCAAGACTGCGACCGCGTGCTGGAAGCAGTGATGTAACACAGGATTGCCGAGAACTTGCGAGCCCGACGAGCGTCGACACAGTACTCCAATGATTGCCGGAACGGCTCATGCTGATGATGCCATAACACTCCGGCTCGCCCGAGGAGAAACCAAGAGCGAGCGCAAATTTAAAAAAAAAAAACAGGAAGAAGCACAAGAAGCCGGGTGAGGTGTCATGGCAGGCAAAGGGGCAGTACGCGTGTACGTTCAGGTCCCAGTTGTGCTTGAGAATTTGCTCGTATGACTGTTGTTGTGAACAAAAAAAAAAAAGAAAAAAAGAAAAATGTGTGTGTGTGTGTGTTCTTTGCATTTTTCGTCTTTTGGCTTTTGCCAGCTTCTTGTTCTTCTTCTTCTTCTTCTTGCCGTTTTTGGCATTGGTCTGGGCATCGGCATCGGCATCGGCGGGCTGCTTAACGTGTCTTGCTTTGTGTGCCTGGCGACTCATCGCTTGTGCTTGGTACGCTCTCCTGATCGGGGCCTTTCGGCGACGCCAGAACGTTTTGGTTGAAAGCATTGTTGCCAGTTTGTTTTTTCGTGGTGTGAGACCACTGATCTCGACGACGAGCGCTCGGGCAACCAAGTACACCGGTTCTCGCAACTGTCACTGAGAACTGTTGGCCAAAGGTGAGTCACTTGGCCCATCAGGCAGGGAAGAGCAAAGGCCCGCTGACCGGCTGCCATTTTGGAAGCTGCGCGCACACGCATTGGCACGCTCCAACCCCCCCAAAGGCCCACACCGACACCACACCTGCACCACACCCACACGCACGATTCAAACAGCATTCCACTTCACTCCACCACAGCCACCAAGCATCACCCACCACACCTGCCCACATGACGCTGAACCGGCACAGGATGATCTGACCAGCTCCCCACAGCTGTTCGCCCCCGTTTTCGCACCGAAGTTTGGGTTGTCAGACGAGTTGTACTTGGAGGGGGCTTATGAGATTGATCATGGATAGATAAGCAAAAACAGCGGTTCTGAAGCGGACGGATCAAGTGACACCATTGCCATGAGTGATGATGGAAGTGATGATGGAGTTCAGCTGTACGAAGCGTGTGGTTCATCAGATCCACAAGAGGCGCTCCAGCTGTTGACCAGCTGGGACCCACAACGTATTCGGGATGCTGCCCAATTCAAAACTTGGGTACGTTTGCTGTTTGGTATGATGCTGTGCGAATGTACTGTCACTGGATGTGATATAACATGGGACATTTACTGCACGTTTGCATCATCCCACAGCTTGGCGATACACCGCTGCACAGAACCTGTGTTTACGGTCATGTCAGGGTGGTGGAGCTGCTGTTGAAGCACGGTGTTGATGCTCAACCCAAGGTCATGGTCAGTACAGTACCCCCCTATGATGGTGCACCCCTACCACATTCTGCTGCTGCTGATGATGATGATGCTGTACCTGTACGTCATGCTGATGAATCATCATTACAGGATGGCAGTATACCACTGCACTGGGCCTGCACCAACGGCCATGTCAAGTTGGTGAAGATGCTGTTGAAGCACGGTGTTGATGCTCAAGCCACGACCAACGTCAGTACAGTACCTCCCTCTTTTCCCCTTTACCTCCCCCCTTTCCGTATGATCGTGCACCTGTGCCACATGATGAACATGATGATGCTGATGCTGTACCTGATGCATGATCCCACAGGAAGGGGAAACACCACTGCACTCTGCCTGTGGTAACGGTCATGACAAGGTGGTGGAGATGCTGTTGAAGCACGGCGCTGATGCTAAAGCCAAGAACGACGTCAGTACAGGACCTCCCGCTTCCCTCGTCGCCTTTGCGCCGTCCCTCGCTCCTCTCCACCCTGCCCACTCGTGCGCGTCCGTTCTGCCTCTGGCACCTTATTTCTTCCAGCTATCCCTCTTCTTCCCCCGTTTTGCGTCTGCGCTCTGTCGGCGCCCCCTGCTCCCCGCCCTGTTCCCCGCTAGTCTCTTTCGCCTGCCGTCCTCGCTTCCCCTTTTCTGATGTTGTGACTTCAATCTGGGCTCCACCCCATTCCCTGCCATCGCGCCTTTGCCTCTCTCGCACGCTCAAGCGGCTTTTAGTGGCCGTTTCTTCAGTTTTATCCCGGCATACTCAACGCTCAGCCCTCCAAAAAAAAACAAAAAAATGTAAACATGCCTCATGTTTCCAAACATTGATTATGTATAGCGCAGTCAAACGCCGCTCCATCTAGCCTGCGCTGTCTCATCTGCCGGCCGAAAGATTATCCACCAACTCTTACAGAATGGTGCCGACCCAGATGCGAGAGATCTTGTAAGCCTTTCATCACGATGCTCTACCTATTCGCAAACTTGTTGCGCCTGTGATTGTTTCCTGATGACCTGCTGTGGTAGAAGGGTGCACGGCCCTTGGATCTGCTCCTTCACAGGGACTCGATCGAGCTGGAGGTGGGCTTTTTCTTTAATTGTGAAACTGATTGCAGAGGCAAGCTTGCTCACCGATAAATCTGTTTCACGTTGCAGCTGATTGCAGAGCTATTGCGCACAACCCGTACTCCTTGCTTCTACCAAACTTCGGATGCCGATGGTGCGAACCTGTTTCCCATGTGATTGTCCATATCGTCTTGTTCTCATCGGATTTCAACGTGGCGCCAGTCCAAAGCTTGATTCATGCGGAGCAGGCCAGACGCTGGCGGTGCGCTGCTGCTGTTCTCTGTAGCGTCGGCTGGCGCATGGATCCTCAATCGTTCAATATCCAAGATCTACAAACCCTTTGTGACTGCCAGGCCGCTCAAGCTGCACCTACGAATTGAAAAGGGTGACGCTTGTGTCTGGCTTGTCGATCGCTATGCAAACAGACAGTCAAGTCGACGGGCCGGGTGGGCTTTGTCAACCGTTTGAAGCAAAACAGTCCAACAACCACCGCAAAAAGAGCGAGAAACTGCCTCGTCTTCATTCGCCACGACATCGAATAATGACAATGGTGTCTCGGTAGTGGCGGCTGCGGCGGTGCGCGAGTTGGTGACGAGGGCGTTGAGCGGGGGTTTTATCATGCGAGAGAGTGGTCTCGGTTGAACTTGGGTATTGTGGCAATTGAATGCAGTAGATGCGTGTCTGGTCGCTCTAAAACTTCTTTATCCCCTTCATTGAAAGTGTTCTAAGGGCTCGGTGATCAATGCCACCGCAAGACAGCTAAACAGTCAGCACCATCACGAGCACGATCAGCCGCATCACACTCGCTCCGGCTCGCCCGAGGAGTCACTGGAGAAAGCGTGAACGTACAAAAAAAAAAAAAAAAAAATAACAAGAAGAAGCACAAGAAGCACCAGCATCGTGAGCGTGAGGCGCGTTCTCTCCGCCATCTGCTCTGGAATGCCTAACAAGCCAGTGATCGTGATGAGCGATCATGCGGCTCAATTGCTGGTTAAGGCAGCAGCTGCTCACACTCCTGATAACAAAAGACATTTGATGATATCCTCCTTTGGCTGCTTCTACTAGAGTGGTAATGATTGGAGTGGGCGCTCTGTCAGAACCTGTGCCCCACCCGAGCGCTCCAACAGCGTTCAAGTGGATCGCCAGTGGGCTTGGAATGCTGTCCAGCCGCTACGGCTGGCGAAGGGGCAGTACACGTGGACGTTCAAGTCCCAGTTTGCGGCGCTTTGAAAGCAGACCGGAATCTGCTTGTATGACATCACTGACGCTTCATCAGAACAAAAACAAAAAAAAAAACCGTTTGCATTTTTCGCCTTTGATCTTCTTCTTGTTCTCTTCTTGCCCTTTTTGGCAGCGGTCTCGGTATCGATATCGGCATCGGCGGGCTTGCTTGACGTGTCTTGCTTTGTGTTTGCATGGTGACTGATCACTTGTGCTTGGTATGCTCTCCTGGTTCGGGCCTTGTGGCGACGCCAGATCGTTTTGATTGAAAGCACTGCTGCCATTTTTTGATTTCAGTGAGGCCACTGATTTCGCCTCGCAGGGCGACAACGTGCGCTGGGCAACCAAGTACGCCGGTCCTCGCAACTGTCAACCAAAATAATTGGCCAAAGGTGAGTCATTTTTGCAGCAGTCAGAAAAGAGCAAAGAGCCCGCTGACCAGCTGCCGTTTTGGAAACGGCGCGCGCGGCATTTTGGGTTGTCAGACGAGTTGTACTTGGAGGGGGCTCACCACATGATGCTGCTGCTGCTGCTGCTGCTGCTGCTGATGATGATGATGATGATGATGATGATGATGTTCCTGTACGTCATGCTGATGCATCATCCCACAGAATGGCCATACACCACTGCACGTTGCCTGCCATGAGGGTCATGACAATGTGGTGGAGATGCTGTTGAAGCACGGTGTTGATGCTGAAGCCAAGGGCAAGGTCAGTACAGTACCTCTACCTCCCTCTTCCCCCCTTTACCCCCCTATGATGGTGCACCTGTACCCCATGATGATGCTGATGATGATGATGCTGTACCTGTACGTCATGCTGATGCATCATCCCACAGGGTGGCTATACACCAATGCACAGGGCCTGCGGTAGCGGTCATGTCAAGGTGGTGGAGATGCTGTTGAAGCACGGTGCTGATACTGAAGCCAAGAACAACGTCAGTACAGTACCTCTACCTCCCTCTTCCCCCCTTTACCCCCCTATGATGGTGCACCTGTACCCCATGATGATGCTGATGATGATGATGCTGTACCTGTACGTCATGCTGATGCATCATCCCACAGGGTGGCTATACACCAATGCACAGGGCCTGCGGTAGCGGTCATGTCAAGGTGGTGGAGATGCTGTTGAAGCACGGTGCTGATACTGAAGCCAAGAACAACGTCAGTACAGTACCCCCCTCTTCCTCCCTTTACCCCTCTATGATGGTGCACCTGTACCACATGATGATGATGCTGATGCTGATGCTGTACCTGTACGTCATGCTGTTGCATCACCCCACAGCGAGGCTATACACCACTGCACTGGGCCTGCCATTACGGTCATGTCAAGGTGGTGGAGATGCTGTTGAAGCACGGTGCTGATAATGCAACCAAGAACATCGTCAGTACAGCACTTCTGCTCTTCTGCTCATCTGCGACTGATTTCTGCTGACCTGCTGAGGTAGATGGGTGCACGGCCTTTGGATCTGCTCCTTCGCAGACATCCCATCAAGCTGGAGGTGGGCCTTTTCCTATTTGTGGTGCCAATTGCAGAGGCAAGCGTGCTTACCGAGGAATCTGTTTCACTTTATAGGTGGTCACAGAGCTACTGGGCGCAACCCAAACCCTTTGCTCCTACCAAACTTCAAATTCCGATGGTGCGAACCTGATTTTCATGTGATTATTCGCATTGTGCTGTCCTCATCGAATTTCAACGTGCCGCCAGTCCAAAGCTTGATTCATGCGGAGCAGGTCAAATGCTGGCGGTGCGCTGCTGCTGTTCTCTGTAGCGTCGGCTGGCGCGAGGATCCTCGATCGTTCAATATTCAAGATCTACAAACCCTTGGTGACCGCGTGGCCGCTCTAACGGCCGCCGCTCAAGCTGCACCTACAAATTGAAATATGTGACGCTTGTGGTGGGCTTGTCGATCAAGCAGAGATTGAAGTCAACGCATTGGACTACAAGCATGGACGTATGTCCAGTAGCTGCTGGAACACACTGGAAGATACCAGTCCTGACTTTTGTGATCAACCACTGAAGGATGATGTCTGATCATCCTTGACGGCGCTCGTCAAGGAAGCCCGTAGAACATGATGATTGTTCCTGCCACCAAAAACAAGTACGGTCCTGTAGACCGTAAGTGGCATTTTTACTTTGTACCTTACCTGTTTCTATTTTCTCTGTTTGCTTTGTGAATTGACCACAAACAGATGATATCCTGAAACAACGGGCAGGGCGGGCTTTGCCAAGCGTCTGAAGCAAAGCAGTCCAACAATCACCTAAAAAGAGCGAAAAACTGCCCCGTCTTCTTCCGCCATGACATCGACTGATGGCAATGGTGTCTCGATATTGGCGGCTGCGGCACTGCGCGAGCTGGTGATGATAGGGCGGCCCGCCGCAGGAGAAACGGAGCAAGCGCGAGCACAAATGAGACATGAAGAGAAGTACAAGAAGCACCATCATCATGCATTAGACTACAAGCATAGACGTATGTCCAGAAGCTACTGTATCTTTGGAAGACACCAGTCCCAGCGATGATGCTCGATTATTCTTCACAGCGAGGAAGCATGTCGAACATTGTGGTCGTTGCTGCCATCGAGATATAAGTACGGTCCTGTAGACCAAGGGAGTGGCATTTTGAGCTTCATCGGGGGCGCGAGTGTCAAAGCCAGCATGCAGGTAGGACGGCACGCAACGTCTATGGCCGTACCCAGCTTGATCGCAGTGAAACTGGGGTGCTTGATGGCTGCGCGCCAAGCTGTGGGTCACTGCCAAAAAAAAAAAGACGGGTGTAGTGTGAGATCGGGGGGTTTTTTTTCGCTCCAACTCTTGTGCCACATCGAAACAGGCTGTCCGCGGCAGCGACGGTCTCTTCAAACCCACGGATTGGCAGTGTGCCAATGTGGTACCGTCAATTGGCAATGTCGTTCACGATGCAGCATTTGTCAGTGGCTTCGGGAAGGCAAAGTGGAAATGCGCGAAGGGTACATTTCCCGGATTTTGGTCTATCTCTGCTTGTGCTAACCTGTCGCATGTACACGAGGTGAGTCAATTAACGCTCCCTTTGCCTGACGCAGCTGCGTCCTTGCTGGCCCAAACGCCCTACGTATTCCATTCATCACGACGGGCACATGTGTTTGCGTCAACCTAGGGAACGGTTTCCAGTTTCGTTTCGCACGAAAGCAGTCACATGTGGTCGCGTAACGTCTTGTGACAAGGCCAGGATCAGTGAAGGCATGACCTGATTGTGGCCTGCATCACAGCGAGGTCTTTAAGACATTGCTCGCATCTGCGTTGACCAGACGCACGTTGTTGCTCAAGCGGTCGTGTGGCTACATAGATTTAAAAAAAAATCAATTGTTGGTTTTGCTGATGGTGTACATGTGCTTGGGCTAGGCATTTGGTCGGGCTGGTCGCGATAAACAGGGTGGAACTGCCGAGCTGTGGCTACCAGTGAGACGTGGGCCAGCACCAGGCATGGAAAATTTTGTCGAGGGCAATGAGTGCCGCAGCTGGGCGCTCGGCAAGTTGCTAGATCCCCGCGCCGCGACATGCTTTGCTGCCGGCCAGCCGCTTTGTGACGTATGCGCAGGAACAGCACAGCGCCTGGAGCCAGCAAGAGCTGCACGCCAGCAGCGCGCTGCCCAAGCGTTGAGTGTGGCGCATGTGGAAGCAGAGCCCGAGGCGATGGCGGAGGAGGAAGATGTGTTGTCTGAGCCACCTGCCGCACGGCTCGAGGAAGAAGAATCGATCGGGCCAGAGTCCGCTTTGGATGTAGCTTCAGCATCGAACGTTGACACGGCAGCATCACCAGGACCAGGTGCCGTTGCGGCGCAGTCGAGCAGAAGCACTCCACGTGCCCAGGACACGGCTGTGGTGGCGACAAATGGAGGGCCAATGACGGACGCTGCTGTGCCACGGATACAGACGAGTGATGCTTGCATTGGTGAGGCAGATACAGCATCCATGTCGGTGCCAGCTTCACCCATGGTCTCTGATGCTGATGACGAGGCGCCTTTACAGCAAGAGGCGCGTGGCCCGGTGCAAACCACGATGGCAGAGGGCGAGAGCACGTCACAGCCAGTCGTGCAGTCAGCAGCACAGCCAACCCCCACGAAACACGCGCCAACCCCGTCGGCCTCGATCATTTGCGTGCCAGTACCATCGGCCTCGGGTTCAACCTCCTCTCCGGCGCGATCGGCTGCAAGCTCAGCCTCGGGTACACTGCGGCGTAAGCGAGTGCCGCTGGCTGCTGAAAGTACATGTACCCCTGGGTCTGACGATCATGACGATGGCAACAGCATCGCTACCAGCCCTGCTCCCTCAACATCCAAGCGATCGGCATCGGATGGCACGAGCACAGCTGCTGCTTCTTCAACAGCGGCTCAAGCAGCGGAGTCGCCTCTTCCCGCAGCAAAACGAGTAGCATCGAGTGGCACGCGCACCGCTACTGTTGCCGCTACTGCTACCACTCGCTCTGAAGCCACGGTATCTGCTGCGGCTACGCCACCGAATCGGCACAACGTCGCGCCAATATTTCGGCCGAAATCGGGGACAAAAAAAAATATCTGATGAACCACGCGGCGGCTGACAAGTTTATTGGCGTTCTGAAGTTGATGGATGATTACTGCATGCGATGTACCATTCGACAGGCGAAACCCGTCCTGAAGGCCGAGCATCAATGCGTATCTAATCGTGGTTGCAAGCGGTGTCACTTCGAAGGACACGAGACAAGACTTAAAAAATGTTCCGTGCGCCTCGTATACCCCGACGAAACGTGTTGCTACGCTTGTGGAATGCCAAGGATGATTCGTGGATGGGATACATGGAATCACCGTTGCAGGCAGTCTCAAGGACTGGATTCGGGCCTGAGCTGTCTCCTCCTTTATTCGGACTGTCATCCGGGGCTGCGCGACCTGGCAAAACGGATGGGCTACAACTTGAGGGAACAGACATTGAAGGATATCGATACGCGCGACTTGTTTGTCAAGTGGCTGTACTCGGCCGTTCCTGGTCTACCTCCAGGGGATGGGCATTGGCGTCTTGTGGAATTTGTGTTTGAAAGTGCGAGGATCCTGCTCCACAGTGCGGCGATAGCCCAAGTCGGCCCCGACAGTTTTCGTTAAACACACACACACAGGAAGCTCTTTAGAGAATCAGAACACAGAACCGAATGTCAGAATGTCATCATCTTTATTATCTTCAATAACTGCTGAATATGCCGCGACGTTTTACTTGGAATGGCTATGATCTGCTTCAATTAATTGAAACTTTGCTGCATTAACCTCTTGCCTCTCTTCCTTCCCTTTGCAGTTGACTTCATTTTTTTCTTTTTTCTCACTGACACGCGCCACGATGAAGCGGGCCATGGGCGGGGCGCGCGCGCGCTCCTGGTGGTGCGTTGTCGTCGTTGTGGGGCGACGGGTAAGTGCTGCCGAGGTGCAAGCGACGACAGGGATGAACGGGTGGCCAAACGACATTGCCGCGTGACCGTCATGGATGGACCATCTTGCTGATCTCGTGTTGGGCTGCCGTTTGTTGTCAAGACGAATCCTCGATCTGACCCATGAAGAGCCGCAACCGCTCGTGCGCTGATGGACGCGCTAGCTAGGCCCAAGAGCCACGGAGCCTGGTCGGATCCGGCACGAAGCACTCCCGCTCAAATGCAGGTGAGAAACCGATCTTAGGCCCGCTTTTGAAGATGCTAT